CTAGCAAAATGACCGGACTTGCCACAACGTCGGCAGGTTTTGTCAAGGGCAGGACATTGGACATCCTTCGCACGGTGCCCTTCGTTTCCACAACAATAACAAACACATTTTTGCCTATTATTGTCTTCACGCTTCGCAGAATTACGCCGTGGTTGTTGAAAATCTCTATTTCGTTCGATGGAATTGAGGTGAGTGGATGATTCAAACTTTTGTTCGATTTCTAAGGCCTGGCGATCGGCCAGTTCGAATGAACGAGCAATCGATAATAAATTGTTCAATGTTAGTTCTTGTTCTCGTAGTAGGCGACGCCGAAGAGCGTTCGAAGCACACTTTTCAATGATTTGTCATTTGGTCACGGATCATTTCATCTAAACTTGTATCGAACTGGCACGTTTTTGCAAGAGTTCTCAAGCGAGTTACAAAAGCATCCATGGACTCGTCGGCACGTTGGGTTGCTTGTCTGAAAACATGACGTTCGAAAGCTATATTTTTACACGGGTTGAAATGTGCATTCAATTTCTCGAGCGCTGTTTTGTAATTCTCGCCAGTATCAGGCAACGTCTCGAAGATTTCTTGCACTTCTGCACCCGCTAAATGAAGTAGAATGGCCCGCTTTTGCTTTTGATCGGAGATGCCCGAAGCACGAATGTAGTAATCGAGCGAGTTCGTCCATTTGTCCCAACGTTGTGCCAACGAACTCGTTTCAGACACAGAAAAGGGTGGAATAGCCGGTAAATCAAGGACCTTAGCCATTTCGTATGAAAATCAACCAACGTCGATACTTTTACTTTACCTCGTCGCCAATTATAGTGTTTATATTATCAAACTTTAAGGATTTATTCTCTCGCTCATTTACTACAATACTCTCTCTCCAAACACTACTCTGTCTCCCCTCGTGTTCCTCACGTGACTGTGACGTCACAGACACTACAATACAATCAGGAATTCTCTCTTATCATAGATACAATTTGCAATTCCTCAAGATGTCTGATATACTCAAGCATATGCTTCTCCTCAACAAAAATACCGACCTGCTGCTTCCTTCACCTCACTAGCACCAGATGAAATGGCACCGTCTTTAAAAAAAAAACATTTTAGTTTGGCTCTAGTGGCGAAATGTTGTCCGTCGTTCAGCGCAGTCGGAGTCTTGAACACGTTCATGTAGTGGCCAGGATTTCCTGGATCAGGGTAATGTGCTGGAACCTTAGAGAATGTCGCCCCCCACCCACCGTATCTCCTGGCATCTGTTGCAGATGTCTTTGCATGCCTGTGATAAATGCATGTAAAAGTGCCAGTATGCTTCAATTTCTTTAATTTTCATCCCGTTTGTATTAAATATCCCATAAAACGAATGAACAAATACTTATATAGTTTGAATTATTTCATCATTTTTTGAGCCTTTGACGAGACTACTACCTTAATTTGAAATTAATATTTTACTCGCTTTTTAATGCCATAGACTTATTTCATTTACACAACAAACGAAACTAAAATATCTGGAGAACGAAAAAAGATAAGCCAAAAAAGTTGTCCAGTTAACTTCAGCATTTTATAGTTTTACTAGTTTTACATTTAAAGAACTTGATAGAAAGATAGTCGTCTCAAGGTTTTTTTTTTTCAATAATTAGTCTATTGTGCTTTTTTAAAGATATTTCGTCAATTAAATTATTAATCTTGATACCATTGTTATAAAGCACATTATTGAGATCCTTGACCTTGTAGTTATAGGTAATTTGCACAGTAAAAATAAATATAATTTTTTTATTTTGTTTTGTTGTATTCATGCCCGTTTCAGACGGCGTACTCTTCATGTGCCGAACTTAATTGTATTAGATGCGACACAAGAACGGCAGTGATTCAAACGGAGTACCAAATACAATGTTATTGAAGGTTGGGGCGCATTCGCCAGCGAAACCTAAATAAAATTCAAAATAAATAAGTTTATTTTTGGACTAAAGTTGAGTTAAGTTTGGCACATGAGTGGAGCGGCGTATGAACTGATCCAATGTCTGCCGAACTTGTGTCGAACTTTTGCCGCTCCAAGTTCTGCCGTACTTAATTGATTCATACGTCGCTCTTCTGCCGTACCTAATTCATCAATTAAGTTGGCACATGATAGGTACGCCATCTGAAACGGGCCTGATTCGCCTGAAACGGGCCTGAAGTTTTGGGTGCCTTGCATGGCTCGCACTTTATGCACACCCAAGATGATTAATTTGATACTTTCAAATAATAACGATAATAAATTGACAGTTTTAACACTGCATATTGCCATATAGTAAGCCATTTTGTATTTTGCATAAGAATGGATCTATAATTTACAAACTCCAGTTCCGCGGACTTCCCATGCAGGTTTTGACCATTTTTTTATAGCAAATATACCCAATGACAAAATTTACTATGCTTCATTAGATTTTATTTTTGTGAAGATTTTATTTTTGTGAGTTATGTAATATAGAGTATCCTCAACTATTTTCCATTTATATACTGAGTGATTATTTCTTCACCGTAAACCACCAGGAAAATTGAAATATATCCGAAAACCGCCTTCTCAAATGCGCCAAAACCGCCTAACCGCCAAACTATAATAGACCCCCTACTACATTATAGTGAATGGTATAAAGTAAACTAGATCTTAAAACCGTTTGTCGTTTTGTCAGGAAAAATCGCAATTAAAACGTAACTGACGCGAACCGGCTTTTGTAACCCGAAGCGAATGACAACAACGCAGCTGAGAGAATAAATACTTCTCACGCATCACACGTTTACATTGAAATATTTTCCAGCAAATTCATTCTTCTACAAATATCATAAAATGATATAACGCAGTAAACGCACTTGTTAGCTTCAAACAACTGCTGGTTTCAACAGGAAAAATCGCAGACGAGAACTCGTGCTGTACTCAAAAATCCGGATGGGCATTGGAAGTCTCCTGCAAGAGTCCGCTGGTCTGATATAGTGCATTCTGATATAGTGCATTTTTTCTTAATAGTGAATCTATGCCAGCATATTAAAAATGTATAATGTTTAGTCGTATTTTTTCGCGGAAAAGTGTTTGAAATCACTTTATGTGTAGAATGATAGAATGATTGACCCCCCGGATTTTATAGTTCCAATGCTCACCTGGATTTTTGAGTACAGCACGAGTTCTCTTTTGCGATTTTTCCTGCTGAAACCAGAAGTTGTTTGATGCTAAGAAGTGCCTTATATCATTTTATGATAGTTGTAGAAGAATGAATTTGCTGGGAAGTATTTCAATGTAAACGTGTGATGCGTGAGAAGGATTTATTCTAGCTCTCAACCTGCGTTGTTGTCATTCGCTTCGGGTTACAAAAGCCGGTTCGCGTCCGCTACGTTTTTCGATTTTTCCTGACAAAACGAGAAACATTTTTAAGATCTATTTTGTTTTATACCATTCACTAGAATGTAGTAATGAATGGATTTTAGAGATTTGGGAGCTACAACGGGTATTTTGCTTCACACAACGAAATATAATATTGCCGATCACTTGCGACAATATATGGCGCAGCGTGAATTCACGTCTTGATCGTCTATCTTTTGCGATTCTTCCTGACTTCACATTTTGCGCTAAAGCCTTCAAAATACATTTGTTGAATGCGTAATGTTCTGAAGGAGAATTAAATTCATTAACAAGTTTATTGCGTAGAAAGAAACAGAGTAATTCGACATTTTCATATCCGAATGTGAATCTGAACATGACGACCCGCACAGCCTAAAAATTGCAACTTTTGCGGATTGAATACGCAAAAGTCCGGAAATCAGAGCGCATTATCTCATTACACTGACCTGAAAGGTAACTGTCTTAAATCCCTAGTTTTCTGTTTTTTTCGTCGTCGAGAAATCGAGTTTGCGTTCGCGCATCGCAGGCTCAGGGTGCAACGATTAATCCAAAATGCCATCGATTCTTCGACTCCACGATTCATATATAATAGTAAGAAGCTTGTATTTATGTACGTACTAGCCTGCGCATGGCATGCTTGTGGTGCATTTTCCGTTTATTAGCCCATATATAGACTTCTATGGACTTATACGCACGCGCACAATTCCGAACTCCAATGGTGACATATTTAGTCCAGTTTCAAAATGGCACCTTTTGGCTGAGTGATCAGAATATATTTCACACAGATTCGTTGAATTTTCAAAGAGTTGTGCCGGTTTCCTATGGATTTTACGTTGTGTCGCACTCTGAACTTTCTTGCGTGTTGAATTAATATGTTTTTCTTCGTGTAACGACTCGAAAACCCCAAAATTTGGACCCAGCGAATTTTACAAAGGACAAGTTAAAGGTTCGACAGTTTGACTTTTTAACTAATAAACAACTGTTTATAAATATACGTTGTAGAGTCATAAACATCCGTGGTGTAGTTGTGTTCATTTTTTGTCGCACTCTGGACTTTCTTGCGTGTTGAATTAATGTTTTTCTTTTTGTATTAAACGACCCCAAAATTTGGCTTCCAAAATTTGGCCGACCCGGCGGATTTATACAATCAATATGTTGTATCAAACGACTCGAAAACCCCAAAATTTGGACCCGACGCGAATTTGTACAATATAGTGGAATATAAGCAAGGACAAGTTAAAGGTTCGACAGTTTATTTTGATTTATTGTATGGTTCTCATTTGCCTAATACAATAACATTTAGTTCACAATACAATATAAACAAGGGCAAGTTAAAGGTTTGACCATATTAAAATACAATATGTATTGAAATTCGCGCAATAGCAACTAGAATTCGCGCAAGTAAAGATAAAGCGAGCGTTCAAAATAGCAAAAAGAACTAAGACATTTATTGTATGGTTCTCATTTGCCTAATAGAATAACATTTAGTTCACAATATAATATATAAACAAAATATAAACAAGGACAAGTTAAAGGTTTGACAGTTTCACTACACAATGTCGACAATATACCTATAATACATGTATTAAAATTCGCGCAGTAGGAGGTTGGCGCAGTAGCTACTAGTTGGTGCGCCAAACGCTTTGTGGTAGCTATACTAAAGATAAAGCGTGCCTTCAAAATACCTACAAGAACTAAGACATTTATTATATGGTTCTCATTTGCCTAATACAATAACATTTAGCTCGACGCGAATTTTAACCAGTATCATATTTCATAATATAATGAACAATGTAAACTAGCCAATTCTTTTCACCTACGAAATGTCGACAATATACCTTAATGTATTAAAATTCGCGCAGTGGCTACTAGAGTGCGAGCAAGTAGTAAAGATAAAGCTTGCATTCAAAATACCAAGACATTTAATGCATGGTTCTCATTTGCCTAATACAATAACATTTAGTTCACAATATAATATAAACAAGGAAAAGTCGTTCGATTTGGCTATACTGTCAGTGCTCGTTTTGAATGTATATTGATCGATTTCAATAATCGATTTACATATCAGTCTGCTCGATTCGAGTAAGTGTTGCCCGATTTGTATCATTGGTGATTTGGTGTTCGACTTATAACTATTGGACCTATTGAATTTTGACAGCAAAAACGCGCCATATATAATACATGTATTAAAATTCGCGCAGTAGCTACAAGAATTGGCGCAAGTAAAGATAAAGCGTGCGTTCAAAATACCACTGGCAATGAACAAGAACTAAGACATTTGTTACGAAATCTGCTACAAAATGTCGACAATATAGCATACAGTGTTGGATTTTTCTCATGTGTATAATGTAGCATAACACATGTATTAAAATTCATGCAGTAGCTACTAGAATTCGCGCAGCGCTGGGTGCGCAAAATTGCAAAAAGCCGTTTGTGGTAGCTATAGTAAATATAAAATTTATGCTACAAGGGTCAAGGTAATAAATGGGAAATGAACTAGCTATTTTAAAACTGTAATGTATGATGATTCTTTTGAGATAACAATGAGAAGATGAAGCGAACGAAGAAGAAAAATTCCAGTCAGCGGCCAAAAAGGCCGTTTGCCGTGAAGTTTAAATTGCCCTGTTAGTACATTTAAAATGCACGTAGTAGCCTATAATATGTGCGTGGAACGCATATTACCTCGTCCTCGACGTTTTGCCCTCACCCTCGACGTTTTACCCTCGCCCTCGACATTTAACCCTCGACCAATAGATAAACTCCACACGACATATAGGGACACTCAAGGTTGCACGGTATAGGGTTGAAAAGTTGCCAATGATAAAGTGGTGATTTCTGCCTTCTGCTTTTTGTTGTCAAATTATTGATTTTCTTGATCTACCGCTCAAATTATTGATTTTCTTGATCTCTTATTGATCTACCGCTGAAACTGGTCTATACGAACTCTCTTGCTCACCATTCCCTTGTCTATTACACCATAGCCAATCTCGTTCCCGAGCCTGCGATCCTCGGGAAGGAAACGAAGGCTCTGGGATAATCCGTTGCCGAAAGCCAGGAATTCTGGCTAAGATTGAACTGCACATTCCATATCAACGGTCAATCAGATTCCTCCCTGAAACGGATTATCCCAGAGCCTTCGTTTCCTTCCCAAGGACCGCAGGCTCAGGGAACGAGATTGCACCATAGAGCGCATGTCGTCGTTTTCAGGTCAGTGTGAACGCCTGAGTAGGCGCCTGTCTTGTTAAAAGTTCATTGTCACGATCTTTTAGAATCTCGATCTTCTTTCTTTTCAAACCCTGCCATTTGAAGACCAATTCCTCATTTGCACTAGTAAATAATTTTATATCACCGCCTGGTGATTTCCATTCCCCCATCAGCTTCAAAACATCACACGTAAAATGCTTTAATTCATCTATATTTCCCTTCCACGAGAACTGAGGGCCACAGGCGACAGAGTTTTATGAGTCGAATGAGTCTATGAGTTATGAGTTATGAGTCAATGAGTCATGAGTCAGTTCAAAAACAATTCTTGTTTATACTACACACAGCAACCAAAATGTCTTTAAATTTCAAAACCTACATAACTAATAAGGATATCACACACTTTGGATATAAAACCTTGTCATTGTTAGCAGTGAACGGCATATTCATTATTCAGGATCTGTTAATCGACGAACTGAATACTGGATACGTAGCTGTAGACAGTAAGGGGCGGACCATTAGAAATCCCGGGATGGGGGAGGGGGGTGAAAATTTAAAAAAGTTCGTGCAAAGAAAAATGCTTGGAAAAAAATTCGTGCAGCCATTACGTCAGAGAAAAAAAATTCGGGCAAGCAAACAGCAAAGTACAAGTAGCTTGAAAAAAAATTTGTGCAGAGGTTAAATGCATTAAAAAAAATTCCTGCAGAGACATGAGACTGAAAAAAAAATCGTCAGACAAATCCATCGCCTGCAAGACAGCATTCTCTGATATGAATCCATGCTTGTTTTCGCTTTTACAATGCTTTTAATCACGGAAACTATGGAAACGTACAATATTAATACCATCTTGTGTTCATAGAATCCGCTCTCACAAGCACCACAAACACGTCTGATCGTACTTAATTGTGTGTCAGTTAACGAACAGGACATTAATGAGGAACTTACTTCAGCAAAAGAATGTTATTATATAAGTTAAAACCCCGTTAAAGCAATGACAATGTTGCTGTTGCTTATTTAAAATAGGGAGTACTGTTATTGTTATATTGTTATTTTCATTAAAACTGTTCAGAACATGAATCGTGTCGAAATGAAAAGTTTGTAGTTTACAGTGAGACTTCGAAGAATGAAACCCCATTACCGGCATGAAACTAAAAAGAGAATCTTCGAATGACGATAAAATTCATAAATTTCAAAGTTTGTACGAAAATGTTGTAAAATGAGGAAAATATAGCCCTTTGGAGTTCGTATATATCTATTTATACGTGTGGGAAAAATAACCTTTTGAACCGAAAGCTCTCAAATTTCCTTTCATGAATGTATGAGTGCTTTCAAGCGACTACTGATGTTTAGACACTGAAAAGCTTTCCCGTAAGGCAGAATGTTATCAGTTTTTCATCCGGTTTTTATCTTATTTAATTGCACAAAATTTGGTAAAACTCTGTCCATTATTTCTGTAAATATTTTGCGTACAGACAGACAAACCGACGGACAAAGGAACAAACAAAAAATATAACCTCCTGGTGGACATAAAAATGGAGAAATTACAAAAAGTTAAATACAATAAAACCCGATATTTTAGACTCATAACTCATTGACTCATAACGCACAACTCATTGACTCATAAGACTCACTTGGACATTAATCTCCAGGCGACAAGCAAGTTGCTTCTTGAACATAATCTATTGATTTGGTCGTTTTTATTCTCGGATTTTGAACTGGAATTTGTCAAACACGAGGAACTCAGAATTATTTGATCCGTCGCCATTTTGACCGGAAGTCAATCTCATATGTAATCACGTAACCTGATGTTCAGGCCCTAATTTGAAATAGGGCCTGACACAAAACCTGTCTATGTCGCAGAGCATTTTGCTTTTAATTAAACTTAAAAATTCAAGGTACTTTTATATAATTAAGAGTCAGTTTCTCTATTTAACCGAGCAGGCGAACAGCAAACAAAGATTTAATTAGTCAGTTCTGTGCACGCGGCTTGACTGCCAAGCTTTTTCAAGGTCTCAACTTGGATCAGTGCTCTATAAACGACTAACGGGCTAACAACAGCAACAATTAAAATTCTCAATCATACCACGAAGAAGGCGATGTAGCTCAGAAAACAACGCCGGTAGGACCTGATATTAAAAATAAGACTTTTGCCGGCGAAGCAAGTTGGCAGAACATCTTGGCTGTCAACAACAAGCTTTCGAATACATGACTAGTTTGGCTGTTCTTTCAGCGTCGTGTGTGTCCAAAATTCGTCAAAGATCAGTTTGATGAAGCCCTTTCAAAATACTGTTTGTTTGATTTATTTTCTGCCATAAAGCAGAAAAGAAAAGAAATTCGACTGAAGAAATCGATAATGGAATTTGTTACGTGTGGACGGGAATCCCACAGTTTAGATAGGTTTTGTGTCAGGCCCCGATTCTGTGATTAGGGCCTGAACTTCAGGTTAGTGATCACGTGACCCGGCCTTCCTAACCATGTTTATTATTTCTATTAACTATGGATTGATTCACGCTCAGGAACTAAAGATAGATCTGCTTGGCTGAAAGTTATGTGGTAAACAAACCTCGCATTTTTTGGCTGAAAACTTTGCACTCAGGTTTGAGTAAGTACTAAGACATCGTCGTTCTCTACGATGTTCAATAATTTGATGTTCAATAATTTGTTATATGAAAATATTGCTTTGCCTTTGTAGAGTTGCAGACTAAGTTGTAATTGTATAAATCCAGATAATTCGTAAAAAGCCACTAATTGACATGTAATGTGATAGGTGACACTTAACATAGAAAGGAAAGTGAAAAAAAACTAAATATAACGTCATTTAATAATTGTTTGCCCCTTTTGCTAAAATTTTATCATTGAATCAAGCCCTTAAATTCATGAAGTCGGACGGTTTGAAATATGTGATAATTTCAGACAATCCTGGCAAAAATTGTTGTGGACACCGCTTGCGTCAAACAGATGTATTTCTACAGAATTAATCCCCAGAAAATTTCTCCCCCTCCTACTCCCAATTCAATGCTGGTGAATGAAACTTTTAAAATTTAACTGCGAGAAACAACATTGAATAGGGGGCAGGGGGCGACAAATTTCATGAAAGAACGTCTCAATGTTAATATGGGCGTTAGAAAAGTTAGGTGTCCACATAATTTTTGCCAGGATTGTAGCAAAAAATTTTTGCATGCATTGCAAATTAATTAAAATTTGTTCTAATTTGACCACTTCTATGCAGTTTCTTGATTAATAAAAGATTTTTGCTTTCCATATTGGAGATTTCACAATCAAGACTTCACATTGAAACAAACTTTACTAGCGCTTGCTTCTAAGGGTCGGTTTTTCTGGCATGACGCTGTCTGTACTCAATTGTAATTTCTCAAATTGATTAATAATTCATGAGCAATTCAGCCAATGATAATCACCTATTTGATCACAAGATGCCATTTGGATACTTGATGAAAGCATAGTTAATAGAATAGATGGTTTAGAAACTCATTAGAATAACAATATAACTCATTATCTATGTTAGTCAACGTTTATTCATAAATCTGGTCCTTCGCCGTCACGTGTGTATTGTATTTTTACCCAACTAACCAATAGCAATGTTTTAGGAAAGTTACCTATCCGTCGTGACTCGAACAATAAGGTAAATTGGAAATTGCTATTGGTGGATTTGGCAAAAATACAATACACACGTGACGGTGAAGGACCACATTTATGAATAAACGTTGACTAACATAGATAATGAGTTATATTGTTATTCTATGAGTTTCCAAACCATCTATTCTATCAACTATGATGAACGCTACTAGTGTTTTCATCAAATATCTTAATTACGCATGGAAAATTACTTGAATAGAATTCCTAATTACGTTATGCTTGGTTAAGAATTCTATTCAAATCAGCAAACGAAAACATTCTGTTACGTCTCGATTCATTTGAGAAGCCATTTAAACAACTCGAGCTCGTGTCTCACCGGGGTATCCAAACACTCGAAAACAATGTATGAAAACACTCGCGCTTCGCGCTCGTGTTTTCATACATTGTTTTCTCGTGTTTGGATATACCGGTGAAACACTCGCTCTCGTTGTTCATATATTACTTGAAATGCTCTCTCTGCTATAACGTTTTACGCATATCATGGGCTCATTAGGGAGTTAAGCATTCAAATTCAAACATGCGGCACTAGGGCTTGACTTCAAAAGGTACGATTGAAGGCCAACATAAAAGCGTTTCTTGTTTGTGTGTGTGTATGCGTAGAATGATAACAGTATGCATATTGTTAACATTGACAGCAAACGCAAACCATAGCGAAGACTATTATTAACACAACGGTGCGCACTTAATATGAAAAACGGTATTAATTTTTAACAATATGAAGATATCATTGATGTTATGTTCACAAGCGAAAACTATAGCACATATGCAATATTTCATGTGCAATTTCCGAATGTGACGTCTTTGAAATCGTAGGACATTGTTGTTACCTGACCAAAAAAGAGAGGGGACGCGAAAGATCGATAATTGGGGGAGAGGGAGCACATGCAGTGTATTAATATAATCGTGTTTTGCATTATCAATTTCTCTTGAAATCACTTGTTTTTAAGGTCTGCGAACACGAATATATGAATATGTGCCCCCCCCCCCAATTATTGTTCTTCTGCGGCCGCTGTAAGAATGTATCAACTATAAGAAACGACACAAGTTGATTTTAAGCTCTCCTTTTATTTCTTATTAAGAAGTTTAAAAGTTAGAATACAGTTTTTCGATTCTGGGAGCCTTCATTTAACAGGTCCTATAAAGGTGGAAAGAATATAACTTTAAATTTAGCACAATTTAGGCATAGTTGAAATAATGTAATTCATGCAGGTGTTGAGCTTATTTTTTCTCACTAATTTCATATTGAAAAAATCGCATGCTTGGATAACACCTGCACTGTCACCTACTCTACTTAAGCATTGTTTATACCCTCCTTGTATTTAAGCTGTTAAATTTGCCATAGAATTTTTCAATTCAGAGTTTAGAAAAACGCAGCATCAGATAAGAATTTACACTGTTAATGTCTGCCGTCATGTTGAATATTCATGCAGGATTCGTTTTCAGGCTCTACTTATGTTTTTGTTAATGTGCACTAGCTGCTTTCATGTAAATTATCAGAAAATAGACGCTAAATATCAGGGGCCGGTTGTATCAAAGGCGTTTAGCTTAAACGGTGGATAAGTCAAAAATATCCAACAAATCTATCAACTACAGACTACAGACTACAAGCAAAGTCAACTTTTCTGTCTAAGCATAACAAGTATGCATAGTACTACACATTTAGTTGATAAAATTTAAGTTCAATTATTTACAAAATGAATAAGATTGTTTTTAATTTTTTGCCTATAAACCGTTTAAGCTAAACGCCTTTGATACAGCCGACCCCAGCATTAAATAACATTAGGCAGAACACAGACCGACCAACAAACACATGCATTGCAATAACTATGTAAGGCCAGGGTCAAACGTCTAACTTTTCATCCGCCGAACCTAATGCAAATGAAGTGAAACAAAAAACTTAGCTCATTAACATTAGGTTCGGCGCATGAAAAGTTCGACGTTTGACCCTGGCCTAAATGTATCTAACAAAACTGCCATTAATACCTGTAGTTAACATTTACAGCACGAGGCCTGACAATTCAGCAGCATGTATCCTGGGTTGTTACTGCACTCTCCACGATTTGCCCATTCTTGGCATCGTTGGTTGCCATTCGTGACATTACCAGAACAACAAGACTTCTTACAATTTTGCATCATATAGTGTACATTAGAATGACGACAATACCCTTTTGCTGCCCAGGCTCTACAGTTTTCATCTTTATCGGATAAACATGCTGGAATGGAAACGAGAAAAACGAAAAAACCTTTGGGACACGTTCAATCATTACTATATATTTGTTTAAAACGAAATCGATATACAGATTTAGCTTGCCAACGGCAACGTTTTTCGCTCGCTATTTTATTTTGTTCCTTATTTTGGTCTCAACTTTGTAGACAAACTATTCTGACTATTGATGCAGATGCTATAATCTGAAGATGGACTATTAAGCACTGTGGTGTCTACACAAATTATACTAATTATATATGTACGACAAACTTCAATATTTTGCCAGTGTAGGTAGCGGATAACAACATTAACAAGCAGCAAGAGTTCCACTCACTACCTAAACGATACAGAAAGATTCGACGTTTCGAGCAAAGGTCCTTCGTCGGAAATTAATGTAACTTTTGCTGCTTATAATACACTGTAATAATGTACAACGCCACAACGGCCTGCTCAGCTTAGTGTGCTTTCACATGGTACGAATTGTCGTGTACCATTACCAGAAATTTCAGGCATTGTTGCCCTCACTTTTTGAATAAATTAACTGTACATGCATGTCAATATGGTGCCGTGATAGTTATTATAATTTGAATAGCAGAGACGTAAAAAAGTTAGAATTTCTCGCTTTCAAAAAGTGAGGGCAACCATGTCTGAATTTTCTGGAAATGGATTCGTATTCTGGCGTGTGAAAATTACTGTTCTCACAATTTCTCTCATTTTGTCGTTTATGACAAAATTTGAAAGGCAGCCACTTTGCGTGTGATTAATCAAACAAATACACCTGATTACGAATCGCGAACTGGAAAAACTGCAGCGTGTAAATGTAGCCTAAAGTTTATAATATATATATACGGGTTTTTTTCACTGAGTCAGGAAGTAAGAAAGTTTAAAAGTATCTAGCATATATTTAAAAGTATAGAAATAATGATTGCTTGAGATCTTTTTTGAAAATAATGTTCTATGAAAAACGTTCTCGAAAAATTATTGGTATATACGTGAATATACAGTCATTGAAATGATACTCTAATGTGATTAGTTTAGGTTCCGGCAGTGCAATTTATCACAAACAGCATTTCAAAAATCTGTACAGCAATGTAACAATGCGAAACAAGTCACAATTTCTAAATACATCAATAAATGAAGAAGAAAATGAAGAAAATTCAAAGGAAATTGATACTTTATTAGTGTTTTGAAAGTAAAAAAGAATTTTAAAATTGTATCCACTATATTAATAAAAAGAGTCGCTTCGCGAAGTTCAGAGCAATTTTAAATTTCTTTGTATGTTTGCATGGCGATAAAACATATAATAGTTTTGTTTGTGGAAACACCACGTAAATTTATTACTGCAAAGCTTTCGATCGGTAAGCCCGGATCTTCATCAGTGCTAATAATATGTGACTTGTTTAATTCACACCACAGAGGAAGTATATACAGAGAGTTCACTCAAGCCAAAACAAGTCACACGCACGATTGGCCATACTGCGCATGCGTAACTTCCCAGCCAGTACCGTGAAATTTTTTTATAAGGAAATAGATGGGGAAATCCGAATTTTTGACATAAAAACAGTGATTTTAACGAAACTATCCAGGTGATTTGCTGTTTCGTTTTAATTTCAAGAAAATGGGTTAGACTGGACATTTTTAACAACAAATGGGGCTATAAACACTACTCGAACGCTGCGAAAAGGGAAAATTATACTCGAAGGAGTGAAGTTCGAAACTTGTGTTGACAAGTCAAAAAGAGATAAAAAAAGTTGTTCTACACGATGTTCTATACTCCAGGGGCCGGTTGTATAAAAACGTAATTAGCGCTAACTGTAGTTAGCGTTAATCACTGTAGTTAAATCCTTAACTGTAATTAGTTAACTACATGACTTAACTGCGTTGCACAAAACGTAGTTAGTCGGATAGTTAACTAATCACGTAGTTAACTGTGCGTGGGGCTTGCGTGGGGCGTTTAAACACAAAATTACATAAAGTAAGTAGCGAATAACGACCGCTGACACACATTTTCAACATGATTGTGGACTCGTACTTTGCAAATAGGCGGGAATTTTATTCAAAACACTAGAAAACAGTGAAAAATGTACAAGAAAACAAGGAAAAACCGCCACAAAAATCATAAAAGAATGCAGTTTTTCCTTGAGATGCCTACGTTAAACCAAGGTCTAGCTGTTTGGCAATTATATATCAGTGTTTCTTGGTGTAATGGACCATACTTCGTCTTCGAGAAATCGTCCTGTGCAAAAATATGTTCTGTTTTCGTAAAACACCAAAGCGATAGCGTTTGAAGAGTTTATATTGTCAGGAAACATTCACAGGGAAGATAGCGATTGAAAATCTCAGGTAAGCGTTGCTTTTCATTGTTGTTTTATTGAAAAATGTTGTTCACTCCTATACAAACGCCATTTTTAACTACGTTTTGGACAGTTAACTATACCCTCAAGCATAGTTAACTTTAACTAGTTTTTAACTGCAGTTAAGGCTAACTACACTTTTATACAACCGGCTTAACTACGTGATTAAGGTTAACCACTTTTTAACTACTTTTTAACTACTTTTTAACTGCAGTTAGCGCTAACTACGTTTTTATACAACCGGCCCCAGTTGTGTCGTTTTTGCGGCAGAAAAGCTCAGAAGTTGTTCAGAATTGACATTGCAGTATATTTCGTATTGTATAATGTTCAGGTAAGAACATAATTAACTTTTTTCAACGAGAAAAAACTAGCAAAAAACAAGTCTCGACCCGAGGGGCATTTCACTCCAAAAAAGCGTACGGGATTTTCGGATTTTTAAAAATCCGCGGATTTTTCAGCGGATTTTCCCCGGATTTTTTAGCGGATTTTTGAAGAGAAAATCTGTTGGATTTTCTGGATTTGTTTGGATTTTCCGGATTTGTTCGGATTTTTTTCCGGATTTTTTGACGAAGCATACGGGATTTTCGGATTTTTAAAAATCCGCGGATTTTTTAGCGGATTTTCCCGGATTTTTAGCGGATTTTTGAAGAGAAAATCTGTTGGATTTTCCGGATTTGTTCGGATTTTTTGACGAAGTGTACGGGATTTTTGGAGTGAAATGCCCCTCGTCTCGACCAATATGTCTCAGTCTTTGAGAGTTCGATACGTGTGTTGATCTGATTTAAATTGTGTATTTTGATTGTCAGGATATCAGCCCATTAAGTACAAACTCAACTTGCCAAGCAGAGAGTCTTGCCACTGAAATATATTCCCGGCAAATAGTTTTGTTCGCTTTATAGGATATCACAATCTGTGGGCAGATCGCTCCTTCAACTTTCAAAATCAAATAAAAGTTTTTCAAAAGCTCAACCGTACTTCTTATGTGAATAGAAAAGGTCACTTACTGTTATTGTTGACAAATTTTGTCCAGATATGAAGCTCGAAAGCGTCTTTTCCTTAAAAATGCCACTTTTGCATTTCAAACTGTGTTTTCCCTATAGTTTTGACCAGGGCGCTTATATATAGGGCGGCGCAACGAGAGAGCGCGCGCTGATCGACGTGTGATACGGAAAAAAGCTGGGGCGAGTACGATTTTGAAGGAAATTGAAAACACCCGCGATTTTTAGTTGTTCAGTTCGTCTGGCCATTTTTCTCAATCTTTTTGGTGTTAGAATGGTTTAAATGGCAAAATGGCTAAAGTATTTCTTTGGCTAAAGGGTCTGTGTTCTGTAATGGTAAAATAGCTTGTACAAGAGAATTTATGGTCTATAATGTCCGTGCCTTTTAATGACTTCCATGGAGACTAAATTTCAAATGAGGATATCTTGTGTGAATCTACTGCCAACACCTACAAACTAAGGTATGTTAGAGTTCATTATTTTATGTGTACTAACTTGTGTCTTTCATAAAAATCGAAGTCAGTGATTCTTAGAAGATATCATGGCAGAAATAAGACCCTTTTTCAGGCCCTGTTTTTCCCACTTTTACCGGTCATATATTTTGAATGATGTACACAATGCGAAGTGTTTTGACCGGCTGTCATTTGCATTAGTTCTGTCGATGTATTGCTAAAGTTTCATAGGTATTGAAGCATTTTTAATATGTTTTCAGAGCATATTTATCACATAGTTCTGTGCAGCACGAAACTAGTTATTTGAGAATATGGTTGGCGCTTTATAGGTTAAAATTCTGCCAACACCGTAGTTCTTCTTCGGATGCTAGGCGAGAAGTATTATGTTCGATATTCGTTGAAATAAAATAATTTGAGATTGATTCTTGCCCTCTATCTAACTTGTAATCTGGGGTACTCCATCGAAGGTCGATGTTTCTTCTATCGAACATTGAGCAAAAGCTGATCATATGCATTGCTTTCGCACTTTCAAAAGTCTTTTGCAGTGAAAATATCGTCAGCAGTTTTAACCGAAAAATTTGGAAAATCTAATATTTTAAAACAAAAACTTCAAACTCAATGTTTTTGATCCAAAACTTCGAGAGTGGTATAGTTATTGTATACTATAATTATAATAACACTGGGTATAATATAGATTTGGATATTGTACATTTTTACTCATGGTTTCTACGAATGTTTGTGTTTTAGACAATAAGATGTGCTGATGAACAAGGCTGCAAGATTACACTGTGTTGGAAAAAAATGTTTGATTATTTGATGTAAAAGTCTAGGAGTCAGGTCTTAAGTTCTCTAGTTTAAAGTCTAGGCTATACTCTGCTATAGTGCTATTAAAGTTCTTTTATACGACGTCCAAGAATAATGCAATTTGATCGACTACAAACTTTATATTAAACTGTAACATGATATTAAAGTGAAATTTCGTTCGTTTTATTTATTGTTGTTTAGTTCATGTTTGATAATGATAATAAAAAAGCTACCGACAACTTATTCAGTAGAAACAACGTTAAAAACTGGGTGAATTGAAGTTAATTTCACAATTTTTAATATTTGTTTTTAGTACAGCGTTGTTGCTATGCAGGTTGCTAAGACATAGAGCGATGTTAAGTTAAAATTGACTACCGCTGACCGTGTATTGCAGGAAATTGCTTACCAGTGCCCGCATCACACGTCGATCAGCGAAATCACTGGCGTTGCGCCGCCCTATATATAACCGCCCTGGTTTTGACTGAAAACGCAGCGACGGTACTGGCTGCTGGCATATTAATTTTTGGGGGGAATATTTAATTTGCTTTTGATGGCGTGTAAATGGCGTCAGCTTCGCAAATCCGTGTGACTTCCTAAACACTGCATTTTTCACCGAGTGAACTCTCTTCATATCTTTACTCTTTGTTCACACGCCCTTTTTATATACAAAAGTGTCGTGATCTGTTGGCTTGCGTCATTTGAAATTTAATTAAACGGCACATCAACCACGTCATTTCAAACGTAGTGAAGTGATTCTAATTAACGCGCGCGCATCCAAGACAAGAGAAATTAATTTTGCACATTAAGGTGGCTCGATATAGTTATCACAAAAACCCTGCTCAAGAATCGCGAACTCAAAACCGGTTGACCATTTTTACGCGCAGGTCGCGGAAACTGATTAACAAAGTGAAAGAACTTCCAAAATGACCTGACGTGAGCAGTTGCTCGCGCCATCTCACGCCATTGCGCGTGTTCTATAGCGTTTTATGTCAATTGCTGACGTCATTAGAATTTTCCATTCATAGTTAGAAAAACAATGCGCTATATCTCTTTATTTTGTCTGGTGACCTATGTTCAAGTTTTGCATGCGGTATTGCACGTGCACCGCTAAAACCTTTCATTATACAAAAAATAAAAAATTCTTTAATGCCAAAAAAATGTTACCGAAGAATATGACATTTTCGCATTTTCCAAAAAAATGGCATTAGAGAATTTTTTTAATATTTTTCTAATTGTTAGCTTTTCGTCCAAGTAAAATAATGCACGAAAAAAAATTGAGGGTCACCATGCTTTTTTTGCAACTATACGAGACGATAGGCCATTTTGGAGTGAATTTCGTACACGTATGTCGTCATTGCAACGAACTATCTGTTACTAAAACGAATATAATTTGAAAGTAGAGTTATCAAAACAAACAAAAAACCCAATATCTGCTGAATAAATCCTAAAAATGCGTAGTTTGAACATGTCAAAGTGTTTAAACACCTGAATTTTTGAAAACTGTATCGAGCCACCTTAAAGAGAGCACGCCACGTACTATCTAGTGGCTTTCCCTCCTGCATGATCTATAGTATTGTGCTTCTCGATTTCAATTGACTCTCTCATTTTGCGAGAGAACTTATGACTATAACTTATGACTTATGACTTATGACTTATAGCCTTGCAGTAATAAATTTACGTGGTGTTTCCACAAACAAAACTATTATAATTTTAAATTTGTTTAGTTTTTTTTCGGATACATGCATGCACCCTGTAACTATATACATCTTACAATACCTGTGCCTCCTCCTCCTCCTCCTCCTCCTCCTCCTCCTTCTCCTCCTCCTCCAGTTGATCCACCTTTACATGCAGTATACATTGTCTTCGCTTGTTGAATATCACCAGCACTCAGTCCTTGTCTTTGTCCAATAGTTTGACCATTTTTTGCAGTTATTGTATTCCTTCCATTAACTGAGAATGCCCTAGGCCCATAGTGCATTATACTTCCGTAATCATACCCATGCGATTTGTCGTCCGTTCGACCGCTCATTTTGTTGAAATTATATTGCATATCTAAAAGGTAAACAAATTTGAAGACATGTGTGTCTGTGTCGGTACGTAAAAATGAAAATACATCACAATACGAAGAACATTGAAAGCTGCATGGTAAGCCTAATCCTGGGCTAACCCAGAATCCAAGGCAAACTTACCAACAGCTGTTTTACACACTTGGACGTATTTTAAATGTCCTTAGAAATATCTTCCAGAAGTTTTATTTTCTGAGACGTGCAGAAAACCAAAATTGAACCAAAACAGTGAAGTGGTTGAACCGATTGCGTAATGGACAAAAACATGACAAATTTGCAAAGCAAAAAATAAAATTTATTACAACCGCATTGAAGAGCATCCCAATTCCTAAAGCTAGTCAAATAAAAAAGTTTGGTTGTAAAATGTGAAAAATATAACCATGTCAAAATACAAAACAAGTGAAACTCCAAAAATCGATAACATTTTTATTTATCTACGTTTCGACTATATTTCAGTCATCATCAGGATAAACACAGAAAACATTATCCTGATGATGACTGAAATATAGTCGAAACGTAGATAAATAAAAATGTTATCGATTTTTGGAGTTTCACTTGTTTTGTATTTTATTAAAATACTCAGTGGTTCTAGAAATAACCATGCAAATTTGCAAATTTTGTATATTTTTGTTACGCACGGAAAATTGATACTTGACATTGCCGTTCTCAGCAAATATGTATTAATACAAAGTCCTGAAATATATTTAAAGTGAAGTTATAGGGTTCCATGCAAACTAAAGCGTATCAGGCAGAATCAAGGATGTGGCGTCAGCAACATTAGCGCTTTTGCTTGCGATTCCAGATCATTCATTTGATTGTCTGTGATAGTATATTATAAAACCTTACTGCGTTGGATATTTTGCCAATGTATTGATATATAACGATCACGATCCGAGCGAGATTGTTCGTGCCAGAATCCCAAAGCGTGGCCTAAAAAATTTGAAAGAAAATATTGAGAAAAAAAGAACAGTAAGTTTGGAGAAGTAATCACGCAGTTGCTTAGCATCGTTAATAATTATAAGTAAAGCAATTATGCGCCGTAAGATCACAGGGCAAGCCAGGGGGGGGGGTGAGCATCAACTTTGGTGAAGATAAAGAACTCTTGATTGTAATTAATCATCACGCAAATCTGCGATAGATAAAAATACCATTCTTTCTTCATAGAGAAATAGTAGGTTATGATAGAAATAAAGACGCTGCTTTTGTCATAGCTTGCGCGGATTTTTACATGTCGCTTTGTCCTTTGGTTGTTGTGTTTATTTGAATGGTCATTTTTTTTCACGTGACTGCTTGCCTTTGTACCTTTACTATCAAAGCAGTCTGATTATTTTCTTACTAATTTTCAAAGAAACGTTGAGGAAGAATGTTGGAAGAAGGTACAATCATTTTCAAATGCGTTGGGACAGATGCTCGAAATACTCATCATTTTCTTAAACGCTTCCCCTCGCCCCATATTCAATGTTGAATTGTAGTTAGCATTTTGTTTTCACGTAAAATAGTGCATGGATTGGAAAAACAAAGGGGAAGGGAGGGGTGGTATTATTGTTTGTAATTACTAACACTGATATCCTAAAACCAATGGTGTCCGAACTACTTTTCAAAATGATTGTAACTCCACTCCCGGAGGTATTGCCTTATTTAAAAACACACCTGAAACCGGCGCTATTTTGCGATCGTACACGTTTCCACATTAATTTAGTACTCACATATTCACTACTGATGTCCACATCATTACGTCAAGTGTAAATTAATATGTTTTCCAACCAACGGTATGACATCAGAGTGTTGGTCACAATATGTCACAATTTCACATTTGGTCAGTTATGACGAATCGACCGAAACCTACTAGCTACAGTCAGGATTTTTTAAATAAATAAATAAATAATAATTTGACTTAATTGATCGTATTTAGTCACTAAATAAATGCACATTTTTACAAACCGATTTCGTGAACGATGATTCCATGATGCATACATCCTCGTGCAAGTGAAACAAACTGTCTTGATCCTTGGTAACCAACGGCTGAGGAACAACTAAAATAATACAATATACAATCTCCGATGAGACCCTTTTCCTAGCCATGATAGTACAAAGATTTTGACGTTCTAGGTTATTTGCAACTCATAAACTGGTAAAAAGGGCCGTGTCCGTGTTGTATCAAATATCACATAATCATGGTTAAGTTTGACCAAAATTAACTTTAATTAAACTTTATAGATTTTTAGACAAGAGGGTCTCTATGGTACTGTAACGTGCATGTAATGTAAGCAATTAGCTGGCTTTCAGGTGCTGTTTTTATTGTTTATAAAACAGTAGCAAATGACAAACAGTAAGACTCGTATAAGCGTAACATGAAAGGTTTGCTGAAGTGCTGATATCATTGTGAATTTTTAGCATTCACCTCCATTAGATTTTCAATAGGTATATTTTTGTTCATAAACAAATACGATGTATTTTATAGTTGTGATATTATGATTTGGACTTTCTAGCAATGGTTGAAACCGTGGTCTCCAGACATTTTTAGTTGGTTCGCTGTGTATGTTTAATTGTTTATAGAACACTTTATTTTAAGACCGAATCTAATCAATCTTGAGACCGACTATAACATTTCACTGGGGGTACATATGCAATGCGATGCGATGCAACACAAGGCAAAGTAAGACAAATATAATCGACACTTAAGTTTCCCGAATTTACGTAACTGAACACGAAACAATAGTTTGAAATGGGGGCGGGCAAAGTAAACAATAAAATTTCATTGCACGCCTCGATTTCAAAACATTGTTTCGTTTTCACATTGGGAAAGGTCTATACAACAGAACACAAAACAATATGTACAAAAGAACACGCGCACAGCAAACAAAACAAAACAGAACAGAACAGAACAGAACAGGACAGAACGGACAGGACAGGACAGGACAGGACAGGACAGAACAGAATAGAACACAACACAACAGAACAGAACAGAGCAAAGCAGAGCAGAACAGAGCAGAGGAGAACAGAACAGAACAGAACAGGGTAACACAATGATATGATTTGGTACAGAGTATCTACGGAACTTTGACAATAATTTGTCATCATTACTTGATAGTGGAACTCACCCAGATCCGGAATGAAAGTACAAATATCCTCTCTGGGATCTTCTTTGTACGAAACGTAAACAAGGAACTTTTTCCATCCAGTCTCTCATTGCTCCAATGATTCGATTCCGAGAATACGACACATCTGCATGTGAAAATAAGTAAAGAATAAAATTATAAACTCAAACTGGAGGAGCAAATCGTATTAAAAAATGTACCTTTTGGCAAAATTACTAGCAAACAGCCAAAGCCAGCTGAGTGTTTATTCCGTAAAATGTGCATCTAGTTAAAGCGGGATCTTACAATAAATACAATACATTTATCAATTATTAGACGAGGTTGAGTAAGATATCGTGATTTGTCGCTGGCAAGCAGATCAACTATTTCCTGATGCGAAGGCAGAGGCAAATAATTGATCTGCGAGACACCAACAAATCGCCATATTTTGCGAGAACCGAGTTTAGAAAAATTGAAGGCAATGCGCATGCTCAGAGTTTTATTTGTATGTGAGCAACGTTTTTAAAGAATGCGCATGCTCAGACTATTATTTGCACGCAGTTATTTGCAGGTAAATTGACCAATCAAAATTTAGAATACTATAAAGTAAACAATAGCAAAATTTATTTAACCACAGTAGAATCTTCGGTAGTTACAAACAAATAAGATAATACAAAAATAGCAAATTAATCTTCTTACTGGCTTACAAGATTGCCGTGTGCAAGTAGGTTTAGGTTTGTAAATACTCATTTACTGCTTGCTTGAACTGAGAAAACAATTTAGACCTTCGTATATTTTGGGGGAGAGTACTCCACAATACTGCATGCTCCACTATAATAAGAGTTTCGTTTTAAGTGATTTGTTCACAACCTCGCCCCAGGGCATTTCCCTTGGCTTGGGAAGAGGCGGGAAACGGCCCTGGGATCGGCCGGGCCGTTTCTTGGCTCTTATTGGTTACATGAATTTATTAATTTATACAAAATGTTCGCAAATTCATAATAATTATACTGTACTCCAAGCACTTTGCTTGAAGTTGCTTTAAATTTAAGGGTGGGAATTTGCATTATCAAATGCAATCCCCATCTGCCGTATCACATTTAAAACTCCCCGTAACGTCGCCATTTTGAAAATTATTAAAGCATGTTATGCAGATTCAAAATGCCCACGAAATCTGGGTATTTTGAGATCACATGATCGACCGATCTCAGGCCATTAATTTCATTTCAGAATATCCACATGGATTGTCTTAAAAACAAATTTAGCTTTGTGTTTTTTTCCGTCGTAAGGAGAGATTATCCAAATCACAAAGTGCCCGCACAAGGCCCGCACTGGCATCATAATTTGTCCTCAAGATGACCCTTGCCCCTCGGTTCTCGAGTTATTGCAATTTACAACTGAATATTTCACCAAGACCATCCCAGACCGAGCAACAATAGTCAGCTTGAATCAATGCTCGATAGATTTGGACCGCTTGTCTTGTCTTGTCTTGTCTTGTCTTGTCTTGTCTTGTCTTGTCTTGTCTTGTCTTGTCTTGTCTTGTCTTGTCTTGTCTGTCTCGACCGATTTGGACCGCTGTGTCTGTTGGTATAATCAGTCTTATACGTTTTGAGCGCCGATACCGAAAGAAATTTCTTTAGACTGATAATTTGTCAATATGAACTGCTAGGTAAGATATTGGTCAATATAACCCCTAAAAGCCTAACTGAAGCAACTCTATAATAATTGATCTCACAATCATTGACTTTAATTTCTAGCTCTCTAATTGCTACTTATACTTGCCATTCTTTGCCGAGACCCAATTGTCATAAACTCAGTTTTTGCACATTCAGCTCATTTGCAATAACCTAACTATTGAGACTTTTTAATTTAGAGTTTATGACATTTTGGAATTTGCCGCATTATTAACACTTGTATCACTTGCGGACATTCTTTGATGATATTGAACTTAAATATGTGACCAGTGTATAGGTAGCGGATAACAACATCAACAAGCAGGAAAATACTCACTACCTAAACGTTTTAATAAGATTCGACGTTTCGAACAAAGGCCCTTCGTCGGGAATTAGGGTGAATTAGACATTTTGGATAAAAGGTCTAGCTACACATGCCCGAAACTTGAAACAACGTAAAATTTTTAGCCTTGCTTATTAAGGTTACAGAACACCTTTGAGTGTTAATTTTGCCTAAAATTGTTTTATTGGTTTCAATGAAAGCATTAGACTAGTTCTACTATCTGACAAAATGTTGAAAACTCGCAGAGTTATTTAGTAAAATACATTTCGCTGGAATAAGAAAAACATTGAAAATGTAATATTCAAATTCAATTTTCTCCCGAAAAATTTTACGGTAATTACTGATTTTCAAACGAGTTGTGCTCCTGCGGGTTTTAACCAATTTTTCTCAAATTTTCACAGGACATAGCTAAAGACGTCAGTTTCAAAATTGTGTTCGGCTTTTTTTCAATTTTGGATATTTTAATAATAAGG